ACACACACACACACACACACACACACACACACACACACACACACACTGTATTACCGTGTATTAGATATACAGTATATATAGTGTACTATGTAGTTTACTAGAGTGAATTCACACCCAATGGTATACAGCAGATACCACATACGTGTCTGACGTGTGGAATCGATTCTCATTTAAAATACCGCACGCGAGCTTCCATCGTTCACCTGTTTCGACGTCGAGTGAAACTACGTTACGCGAAACGCATCGAGCGTTAACGTTCAGAACTCACCGTGATGTATGTTTTCACGCAAACTTCTCGTTCTGCTGTTCAACCTCCTGAAGCGAGGCGTCAAATCCACCGCCATCATGAGCTCTGCGCGTGACGTCGGCACGCTCCTGCGCTGCTTCTTCTTCTTCTTCTTCTTCTTCTTCCTCTGAGCGCGCACCGCCGCCCCCCACAGGCAGCACCACGCATTACACCACACTCTGCTTCACCTTGTCAGCTCAGGACTTTGAGATTGTTCAGACGGAGAATGCAAAGAAACAGAAAAAACTATTGCATTAATAAATAAAGTTAGCCTCGTTAGAAATAACAACCTATCTTGTTAATTCTGAATTCTCAAGTATATGCAGGGACACACAATAGAGATTGTTTTCTTGATCTAAAGTAACTCTTCAAGTATGTGCTGCCACACATACATTAGCATAATAATTGCCAGTTATTTTCATATATCTACAGCATAATCACTGACCTGTAGATGAATTTATATAGAGACATATAAAGACGTTTTTACCAGAGAATCTATTTAAAGATACAAAGATTCAGATACTTCCTGAATATTCCATGTAGATCAGCAACCCCTGATACTTTCTTAATGTTCGGTGATCGTCATAAAATCAATCACAATATTTTTACAGTCACCACATGTTGTAAATGCTGAATGTGTTGGGTTCTGTCTCTGTGTACAGGTCACACACTGCAGCTCTGCTCTGTACAGCCGGGGTTCAGTCTGTGGATGAGTCATGAGGTGCAGGATTGCTCACAGTCTTTTGGTAAAAATCAGAATCACACAATTAAAGAAAAAACTGCAAAATAAACAGGATATTTAGTTTAATTCATAATGCTTTATTTTATTCAGCAGCATATATAAGAGCAAAGACTGGATTTATAGTACTGATCAAAATTAATTTACTGTAAAGAAATTTGAACAATTATAACATCATATAGATTTGATTGCATAGCATGGATTGTGTAAACCTGTGTTATGATTTTAAAAGTCATTAAAAACACCTGAAAAGTTACAAACAAAATGGTCTTCAATTGATTTGCATTACATTTGAAAAAGAGTCAGTCACTTCTGTTACAAGAGAAGCCGTGTGTGATGTGCTGCAACATATAATATTAACTTGTGGGGTGATTGTCGCACCGCTTATTTTCTTTTTCAGATTTATCAACATACAATACTTGCATTACTTTGTTATGGCAGTGTGCTGGTAGTAATGCTGCAATGTGAATGTGATAAATCAAAGAAAACAAATCGTTCATAAGAAAGAAAAAGTTCGTAAGATAAGGCAAATTGGCAGTTAACGTTTCCTTAACGTTTTTCAGAAAAATGTAATCTGATCCTGAATTTCATTCTAAACACAATAGTAAATCAACCATTATAATACCAATATACTCCAGATAATATTCTATTGAAAGTCAGTGACAAAAAACGGTCTCCACATTCATTTCTTCCAGACTGTCCTCTGGAGGTCACACTCCTCTTCGATGCTCACACCAGCACACGTCTGATGTTGCGCGTAAACTTGGTCTTGAGGTTGGTTTGGATCAATGCTATAGGAAATAAATTAAAAAAAATAAAAATAGATTATAGATTCTCCATGTGGTGTTTCAGGATTCCCTTTTTAAGAAAATAACAGAGCAATGCAGCTGAGACTCATCTTGTAACAACAATGTGACGCTAATAATAGGCACCCTATAACAAAAAAACCCTGTCGTAAACATAGCACTCTCATTAATCAACACATATATGTTTAATTTGTATAAAAAATATTTTGACCTTTTGCAGTGTGTGTGTGTGTGTGTGTGTGTGCAGCTCTGTTTCAAACTCTGCTAAGCTAACAGCTGGTGGTTGCACCTTCATATTTAATGAACAGTTGTGTTGAGCTTTGCATCTAACTCTCACCAAGAATGTCAGTGTACATTAAGTCAGCATACAACAACGTGACCCGTGTACTCAACTGCATATAACTTAATTACGAGGAATAGTTTCTGATGATTGTATGAAACAATTATTTGAAATGCGCCTGTGAATCGACAAATGCGTGTAAATAATCACAAATTACAAATAAAAGAGCAATTAAAATAAAATGTCAGTTTTTTCTCTTTTCTTTTAAACATGATCTAACCTCCGAAGTCCAGAGTGTAGGAGTTTGCGTTCACTTTGAAGATCATGGTGCCGTTGGGGTCTTGCTGGAACATTTTCTCAATGTCATCGCTGGTACCTGAGGGTTCATTTGCACTTCTCTGTAGAAACAAGTTTAGCATTGAGTAGCTTAGCACTATTATTCATATTTTATACATATATAATATTTTGTAAACACCACTCTGCAGGGAACCCACCGTGTTTTTGAAGTTGTGCCAAGTTCCTCTGTCTCCCTCAAACTGCCACTGTGGTTTGGTGCCCACAGCAGTATTCTGAGAAACCGATTTGCCTTGAGAAACCCTGTTACAACAACATTGTGTAAATTATCTTATATATTAATTTGCATAAGTGAATAAGGTTAAGGCACAGGAAGCACAAACACTACAGGGGTCACCTGACAACTGCCCCTGGGCAGAGAGCTACTCTGTAATAACTATTATACCTTACCTCACACTTTTTCTAAAATTGTCTTTTAATATCTATTTTAACTGGACTGACATTTGATCGGTTTGTTTAACAAATTAAGAAACCACAAAACTCACCCTGCCCCTGCTTGGCGCTGTCGGTAAAGTGGACGGCGAGTGACTTTCCTCTCTCTGTCTGAACTCACCTGTTGCATTTCTGATAAAAGACAAAAAGGAACAATGAGAAGAAACCAACAATGTTGTATGCAGTATTCAATGATATCCAAATTGACACTCTGTGATGGACATGTGAGAAAACCTCACCTCTGAATTTAATTTCAAAAGTTCTAGCACCAATGTTGAAAGTAAAAGAGCTCAATGGGTTACTCTGGAACTTCTGCTCTATGTCCGAGCTGTTCGCCGTAGTGGGATTTCCGCCTGGATCCTGGAATAGAAAACAAACAAATCGAAACATATTCAGACTTTGTGTTCAAAACTGTTCTATAAATGTATTTGTGCACATGTAAACAAAGCTTTGTGGCCCTTTACCTTGTCTCCGTACTTGACCCACTTACTATACAAAGTGCAGAACCAGACCCACTCAGTGTTTCCATCATCCAGACGTCTCACTCTCAGCTTTTTCCCACACACTGTCATCTTGTTGAAGTCGATGTTCACAGCCCTGCACAGAGACGAAGAGATCAATCTTCCACTGGCTCCCCTCCCAACTACCCAGAGGATGAGGTCAGTAAAATTGCCATTTACAGTAAATGCCGGCACCAACAGTAGAAAGTATAGTTCTCAATGCTTTCTTATTTTTCTGCATATAAAAAAAATAAAAATAATTTACAGTGAGCTCTTACCCAAACTTTGTGTTGTAGATTTTAATGCTTTGGGTGTGGGGCAGGCAGTACTGGGCCTCGATCACGTGATCATTATCAACATCCTTCCAGCCGGTGCCATCATGCAACTGCCACTGGTAGAGTCGGCCATCAGTAATCTTTCGATCTGGGGAAGATATAATAAATATAAAGATTATAAAATAAACAGAACAGACTGACAACATATGCAGTGATTATTGTTTCATTTTTATTTTAAGGGGGGCGAGAAACAACTTAATTATCACACTTTTCTTCTAATTACACTACATAGATAGATAGATAGATATATAGATATACAGATATATATATAGATAGATAGATAGATAGATAGATAAACAGATAGATAGATAGATAGATAAACAGATAGATAGAGTAGACAGACAGATAGATAGATAGATAGGAAAGCTTGGGCTCCCTCTTTAATGATCAACAGAAACATGTACAATATGTATGTGTGACTAACAGTATAACTCTTTGAATAACCAGACTAACAATATAAATACCTAAGACATAATTTAAACTAAACTAAGTTCTTATCCAGTCAACTTTTCTCTCGTCCTCCTCCTCACCTCTGGATGTAGAACGCTCTTTGGTGCCGCCGCCAGCCTGAGTGGACTTTCTTCCTCCTCTGGGGTGTTTCAGCTTACATCCGGACCCATATCGACAGTTTCCGCTCAGGGCAAACTTGCAGACGTGCCAGTAAGGGCACGCGTCACCGTCCCGACAGTGGCCCTTGTTGTAAAACCTGCAGGGCTCCTTCACTATAACCTTAAATTAAAAATATATGGGTTTTTTCATCACTGTAAATGATAATAAGTGATAATGACACTGATACAGTTTCCAACATCCTCTGTGTCAGTAAACAAACCTGAGTACCGGTGTCTGCATCTGAATCTTTGTCTCTGGCCGACTCATCACTGGCCTCAGTGGGATCTTCATTGTCAGATGCTGTAAAAAAAAAAACACAATATGTGTTTATGTTAAATAGGTGCTTTTATTCATGATACTCAGTGTTTTAATGTACACATGAGTCAATATGATCTTTAGCCTGCTTTCAACGTGAACACACACTACATGGTCAAATTATATTTCAATGAAAGTGTAGCTCCAGCTATGACACAATCATCCTCTGGGTTTAAGTCAACTTTTATATGAGATAAAACAGAAGACATTACAATCATTTTATCTTGTACATTTAGAGAAGACAAGTTAAAGAGTAAAGTGAAAGTATGAGTGAAAGAAAGAGGGAGTGCTGGTCGTGGCTATAATCTCATCTGTCTCTCTCTATCTATCCATCTATCTATGACTAATATAGCTGGCTAAATATATTACAAGCTGTACATGGTCATAGGTAAAAGTTGAATAATAATCAGTCTTGTATATATAGTTGCAACCTATGAACACATATGGAGCTTTCTGAAAACTGAAAGTGAAACTTAATCAATTTAAAGGACTAAAGCTGTCATATATTATATTATACATTATATTAGAAAATAAAATATTAGAATATGAGTTATTCTGTTGATTTTGCTTTAATTTGATCCAGTGGCAACAAACACTGTCTCCACACACTGCTCTTGTCATGAGGCAGAGAAAGAACTATAGTGATCAAAAGAAGCTGCAAGAAGCAAATAAACTCGCACATCAAATATTAATCAGATCACACACAGTCAACTCTGCAGGAAAAACAGTGAGCAATAAAAAGACTAATGTGGAGAAGCTACTCACCGTGAGCTGTCGCCATCCTGAGCTTGTTCACTGCAATGATACTTAAAATGAAAACGAAAAGAATCCCAGCAGTTTATAATAAAGCTTTCACTTTCATTTTGAGTCCTTCTAGGAAACCAGACCCACACACTTGTTAGCCAAGTTGCTGACGACTCATCTATTAATATCTGAAATGGAAAACGGACCCCAACGAGAGACTGAGCTTTAAAAAAGGTCACAACACAAGCCAAAAATATTTAACATTACTCAGATATGAAAAAATATATTTATGAATAACATTTGATTCATTTTCGATTTCATGAGAACATGAAATGGAAAATGAAAGTGTCTCAAAGTTGTGCATGAGTAAATGTAAATGTTACTTTACCTCCATGTCAAGAAAAAAAAATATATATACAGATTTATTGTGATGAATAATTATTGAAAGATAAAATATTTCCCTATTAAATATGTTTTCGCTCAAAAAATTGAAATACTAAAATAAAATATATAAGTGTCTCATATTAGTGCATCTTCATGTTTCATTTTCTTACTATATCTTTAAATATGTATTCTTTTAAATGTGTTTTTTGTCAAAAGTTACAAAAATAAAAAAAGTTATAAGTGATTATTTATTTCGCAGTGTGATAAACCCTCCACAGCGCTGGGTGGCGACAGTGAGCAGACTCTGCCTCCGGCACGTCCTGTTTTACGGACGTTCGTGAAGCAGCGAAGAAGAACGTAGGGTCCCTCGGAAGGAGGAACGAGCCATGAAGGACACTTGATAAAAAAAAAAAAGGCCACAACAAAGAACGTCAGACGGGGAAGATGGAGTTCCATGATCACGATTACATCAGCACCACTTCTCCCAGTGGCGCCCACGTGGACTTTATATATAAAAGTAAGTATAAGCGAACTCAAGCTAGTCACAGAATCTATAACCACATTTAGACTGAAGTGCACATGTTCATCTGAAAGAGATAATCACTCCCTCAGGTTACCGCCGTCATCAGGCAGATGCTACACATGTTCTGTTCGAAGAATAAAGATTATCTATCATCCATCCATCTGTCCATCATCTATCCATCTATCATCTATCCATCATCTATC